GGTAGCTGGGGGTGAGGTGAGCAGAGTCTTTAAAAGCAAAATGAGGATTAGATGAGCTCTCTGAAGTAATCCTAGTGCCAAAGGCCAATGACAAGGGTGGCATCTGTTCAAAATTAAACAAACAGTGGGGCAATGCCCTTGCAGAAGCTGTGTAGGGTGTGTGTGTGTGTGCATGCGTGTGTGGGTGAGTGTGTAAGAGGCGTGGGAGGTTGCAGTGGACTTTGTGCAAGTTTGTGGTTCTGGTTCTGATGCAGTCTTTTTAAAAGTAAGTCATGTGGGCTGGCTTCAGGTTAACTATGTAGCAGAGAATGACCTTGAACTCCTAATCCTTCTGCCTCCACCTCCAAAGTGCTAGGATTACTGTGGACACCACCACGCCCAATGTATGTGGTTCTACAAATGAAACTTGGCCTCCTGCAGGTTGGGTGAATATTAAGCAGGTTCTTGTTATCAGCAGCTACCTCCCTCCCAGCCCCCCAGAATCTACACAACAAAGACAGCTCTTGCTTAGATTGAACATTTCTTACATAGACATACGAGGCTTCTATATCTAAGAGACACTCTGCCAACAAGGCCCCCACAGACCCCATAGAGGGCTGAGTGTCTGTTCTGCCACAGATGGGAATGACACCTACTTCCTTGTGGCAGGCAGCCTTGCAAATGTAGGAAACAAGGAACATTGCCTCTCTTCTGAGGAGTGGAAGCTACACTACCTCAGAAGTGTGGACATTCCCCGTACCGTAATAAACTTTCAAGAAAATCAGTTATGAAGACAGCAGAATTTGGAAGATTCCGTCAATGATTGGTTACCTCAGACACTTCGAGGCCTGTGGTTTCCAGGATTTCATGATGGGACAATAGCTCACCTCATGACTAGGAGGTGAAAAGTGGACAGAGGAGCCTAGATGGTACTCTCCCCTCCAAGGACATGCTCCCAACAGCCTAACTTCCTCTACTAAGCCCATTCTTAGGATTCTGCCACCTTTCAACAGGGCTGAGCTGAGGAACCAATCTCTGAGATATGGGCTTCTGAGGGGAGCCACACTACAGCAAGGGCCACAGGTACCACTAATATACTAATAAAAAGTGTCTGGGACTTCCTTCTAGAGTAAATTACTTGGGCTTGAGAATGCATTGCTGAGAAACAGGGGCCAGTTGGGAGAAACTCCAAGAAAGAACAGTTCTGATTAACAATACCATTTTCCAAGAAAGAAGCAAGCAGCTTGCCGTATGAAGGAGTCACGGAAGCTCCCAAAAGGGAGGCCCTAGTGGCCAGATAAGAGTGTCCAGTTAGCCCAGTGTAAAGCTTTTCCTTTGGTCAATAAGCTGATTAAACCCTCCCTTTCCACCCTAAGAGGCCAGCTGTGGATGAGACTCTCTCCGTGCATCTGGTCTTCTTAAATCCATTTGATTTTGGTTTGCAAAGCCATCAGCACAGTTATGCAAATTGACTCTTGTGCCATTTGCAGGGAAATTGATGAGGCAGGGATCAAAAGGTCAAGTGAAACAGGCCAGACTCAAAAGTCACAAACCACATGTTTTCTCTCCTGTGAGGCAGGGTCTTACTTCATAGCCCAGACTGGCCTCTGATTTATGCCAATCCTCCCTGCCTCTACCTTCCAAGTGCTTAGAATATAATGTGAGCTATACGAGCTATACTATACCTGGCTTCGGAATCTAGGTTTAGACAGACAGACAGACGAACATAAAAGTAGAAGGGAACTAAGTAGGTGAAGAAGGTCTGAAAAGAGGGGTACAGAAGAGGGACGGTCAGGATAAGTATGTTCGAGAAAATAGACTCAACAACACACATACTCTGTATAAGACCTGAGCGCAGAAAAGGGCCATGTCTGAGGAATGGGAAACCCATCGGAAGAAGGGTTGAACTAAGGAGGAATAATCAGGGGTTGATGCGAGCAAACTGAAATTGCATATATATGTAAATGCTATAATGAAGCATCATTCTGACTAAAAGTTAATAAGATGAAAATGACCCGATGTATTAATTTTCACCATACTGTGGTTGCTTCCAAAGGTTTTATACATGTCCTTACTCCTGTTTTTATTGATTGGAACAGGCAATCACTTTCAAGTTCTGCTTTCTGTTGGTATTTATACCACCACCTCCTACACCAGAGCACCCATGCACCCAAACCCCCAAGCATCCATACACCCATGCACACAAACGCCTAAGCATCCACACACCCACGCATACAAGTGCCCAAGCATCCTCACATCCATGCACACAAGTGCCCAAGCATCCACACCCATGCACATAAGCATCTCTGCACATGTGCATAAACTTCTGAATTCCTATCACACCTGCTCACTATTCTAACAACATTTTCTTCTTTCCTTCTTAATTTTCACCTACTTTCCTTGGTTCTTATGATCAATTTTAGAAGTCTGCTTGAACATAAGTAAACTCATAAATCGTTTTAATCTTATTTAAATAATGAAATGATTGCAGCTATGAGTTTCTCTTGGGGCATACCTCCGCAGTGCCTCACAGACTTTGGTCTTAATGTCCCCATTATCACTGTGCTCATTAGATTCTTAATTTCAGACTCAATTCTTTATATTTCAAGACTGATTTATATTTTTTAATTCCCAACTTTTATTGTTCATTTCTAATTTCATTGTACTATGGCCAGAGAATCTTATTTCAAAGACTATGTTTTTATTTTATTTTATTTATTTTAAATCTCACTAGCTAGCCCAGGCTATCCTTAGGCACACTTTCCTCCTGGTCAGTACTGGAACTACAGGCACGTACCACCACGCTCAGCTAAAACATTTTTTTTTCTGTCAACATGGTCAATCTTATAATGCTTCATGCATATTTGAAAATAAGATACACTCTCTATTCTCAGGATAGTGTGTGTCCATGCGTGCATGTGCAATTTTTTCCATGTAGATAGATCAGTAGGCTAGAGCAACTTCATTAATTCTCAGAGTAGGGTTAAGAAGAGTTCTGGCTTTGGAAATGGAGAGATGGCTCAGAGGTTAAGAGCACTGGGTGCTCTTTCAGAGGTTCTGAGTTCAATTCCCAGCAACCACATGGTGGCTCACAGCCATCTATAATGAGATCTGGTGCCTTCTTCTGGCCTGCAGACATACAGACAGACAGAACACTGTATGCATAATAATTTTTTTAAAAAGTGAGTTCTGGGTGGACCAACCCCTTGCAGTCTGGGTTGGTCCACCCCCTGAGACAGTGTGACTGATCTAATGGGAGCTCGCCAAGGCCAGCTGCACTGGGACTGAATGAGCGTGTGATCAAACAGGACTCTCTGAATGTGGCTAACAATGGGGGCTGACTGAGAGGCTAATGATGATAGCACTGGGATTTGATTCTGCTGCATGTGCTAGCTTTTTGGGATGTCTGTTTGGATGCACACTTTCCTAGGCCTGGATGGAGGGGGGAGGGCCTTGGACTTCCCACAGGGCAGGGTGCCCTGCCCTCTCTTAGGGCTAGAGGGGTAGGAGGGAGGGAGAGTGGGGGAGTCGGAGGGGAATGGGAGGAGGGGAGGAGGTGGAAATTTTGAATGGTACTATTTATAAAGCTACATACATATATATAAAGTGAGTTCTGAGTTCTGACTTTGCCTGCCAATGATGATGCACACCTTTAATCTGAGCACTGGGGAGGCAGAGGCAGGCAGATCTTTGTGTGTTTGAAGCTAGTCTAGACTACAGAGTTCAAGGACAGCCAGGACTACACAAATAAACCCTATCTCAAAAACCCAAAAACAAACAGTTCTTGCTTTGATGTGGAGCAAACCCGGGTCCAGCCCTTGCCGCATGACTTTGAGCACACATAAAAACCTATTAGCCCAGGCAGCATGAGTGTAGCCCCAAAAGCCCTAGGAGGGATTTTGACCTCTGTACACATTTCTGTACAGAGTCTGCTGCAATTCCAGTACCATCTCCCATCTTCCCTCGTGTCTCTCGCCCTGGGCCCCAGTGTAAGAACCTAACTTGTGTGCTTCTTGCCTTTTTCTGTTCAGACAAGAGGGGAAGTAGCAACCATGAGGAGGACTGTGATAACTTCTCCACGTTAACGAAACTTAGCACAGCTGCGTGAGCGTCTCACTGCCTGCCTCACGTCTGACTCCTTACATCCCTGCTACACACCTGTCAAACCCTGCATTCACAGCAGCCGCACCTACCACCTAACCTCTCCATGCTGAGTGCTCAGAGGTCCCAGCGCTGTTCGTGAGCTTGGCCCAACTGAGTTTCCTGCTGATCTATCCTGAGCTGCTCCAGACTGCCTATTGCCCGTTTGTAATAGTTTCTCTCTAATGCATCTGTTCTCTTTAATTTTCCCCAAAATTTCTCAGTTCAACTCACTGGGATTTTTCTCTTTTTTCCCCCCAGATTATGTTGGTTATCTGCCTTCTGTCTTCTAGCCACCTTTACTGTCAGCCCTCCACATTGCTTCAAAAAGAAATTAATCCAGAACCCATTAAGGATCTAGAGTTCCTCAAAACACACAGATCCTTCAGACATGCCAACACGGGGGAAGAGGTGCCCAAAGGAAAAGGAGGTTCCCAAACGATAGCTAGATGGCATGGGAAACGTCCCTCCTGGGTCTCACCACAGAAATGGCAAGGTTTGGATCTGGCCCAGAGCTCATTCCTGTGTAATCCTAGATATAAACAAACAACAACAACAAAAAGTTTTGAAACAGGGTTTCAAGTAGCCCAAGCTGACCTTGAACTCAATATCTAGCTGAGGATGACCTTGAACTCCTGATTCTCCTGCCTCCACTTCCTGACATCGGGGTTTCAGAGCTGCACTGCCAGGTATGGTTTTTGGTGCTGAGGATGGAACACGGGGCTTCATGCATCTAGGCAAGCACTCTACCTGCTGAGCTCTATCACCAACCCCTGGAAATGGATATTGGCTTGAAACTGCTGGGGAGCACAGACCAATCAGGTAGTGGGAGAGTGGGTGGCGGGGTGGAGTTCCTCACCAGCCCTAGAGGCCCCAAGGGTGAAGGGGCCCCTCTCAAGTTGCTGAGAGCAAGGAGAGGAACTGAGGTTTGTGAGCACTGTGGCTTGTCTGCTTCCTGTTTCATCAGACTGCTGTGCAAAAAAGAATGTCGGTACCGGAGGAAAACGGAGAGGGGGCTCAGAACATCTGACTGACTGCCTCCCTGGCCATCTGAGACCAGAGAGACACTAGGGACAGAACCTGGGACCTGAGGTAATGGTGGAGGACAAAGCTTTGGGATCCAGTTTGGATCTGTTGACTTTGGGGGTGCGGCAGAAGGTGCTCTGCCCGTGCCAGCCTCCTGCATAGCAGCAGGTGGTAGGGGTTGAGTGCTGGGCTTTGTATGACCAAGAAAGCATCCTTGGGTAACCACTGGGATACTAACAGCTCTGTTCCACCTGTTAGCTTAGATTAGATGTGAGTCGCTTGCCTTGGTGTTGGAGTACTCAGCAACCGTGCCGTGAATTAAATGACCTTTCCCGGATGCCTTTAAAGCCGGGATTCCAGTAATGGGCCCTTCTCCCTCAGTTCCCACTGAGAACTCTGGACTAGGAAGGTCAGATCCATGCAGGATACCACCCATCACTTCTTCTGCATACACAGCTAGGAGGCAGGAGCAAAGATTTGGAAAGGTAACGACAAGCCTATAGGTTAGGTTAGTGCCCTGCTGCCTTCCTGTGCAGGGAGGAGAGCCCCCCTTCCTAGCCAGTACTACTCCTTCCTCCAAACCTCTAAATTGGACCCTTTGTGTTGCCGATGGGTACCTCGGAGACTCCAGAAAGCCTGGGCAAGCAGCCTTGTGACCTTTCTCTGAACCACAGGACCAGTTCCTTTATTCTGCAGCCAGTCCCTGTCTGTCAGATCTTCCACAGCCTTCTTAGGTTAAAGTGAGCCACCATTTCACACCATTTCAGAAGGCTGTGTGGCTCCATACAAGCACCCCATCAAATGCCACCGGGGTCAGGGGAGTGGGAGGACCTGTGGGTCGAGCAATGCTCCTCTTTCTAGGGAACCATTCCTACTGTAACTTCCCTCTTGGTGTTAAGTCCTAATGATGTGGAGAGTAAAACATCCATATTTCAGCAGACCTACAGACCAGCTAGAAGGCAAGCGGGAGAGACGTCACCACAGCCTTGCCTCAACCCCACAGGAAGGCGGGAGGGTCCCAAATCCAGAGAGCTACCTCCAGTACAAAGCCTATATGGAAGTAGGGCCCAACAGGGAGGAACATAACCCCTCACTCTCGTAAGGCTGTGCCCATTCTTCACTTGCCTGTTCTTTGTCCTCCTGTCTGACCTACTGGAGTTGATGGTTATGTCCAGACCACTGAGAAGTGCTTTGTCCTTATAACTCAAATTCAGAGACTATAGGAAAATTATCCCAAGATGGAGCTAAAGGCCTGTTCAGAACTGAGAGAAGGAATTAGGGGGAATCAGACAGTGTCCTAGCGTCTGGCTTTGCCCGGGCGTTTGATTTACACCAAGTGTTCAGTATCCAGCACCAGCAAGGATAGGTATGCTGCTTTTTGTCTATTATTTTTAAAAGCTTTCATTTATCATAATGGCAGTGCTAAGTGTATGGTGTAGATATCGTCATTTAATGCTCATATCCCTTTCAAGGGACATTTTAGCCCCATTTCACTAATGAGAACCATGAGGCTTAGCGACACTTAACCGTTTCCCCATTTGGTAGGCAGTGATAGCCTGAAAGTGAGCCATAGACTGGTCCCAAAGCAAGAGTCCCCTCCTCCATTGAAGACAGAGCAGTCGGGTGCCCTGGAATCCCAGGACCACTCCATCCATTCATTTATCCTAGAACATGTGTTGAATTGAAGTGCAGGTGTGTGACCTCGAGTCCTATAGGTACATACACACATGTTAGTATTTAGGCATCTGTATATGGCCTGACCTTGGGGTTCTGACATGATGCAGCCATTAAGAGCCCCTGCTGTGCACTTTAAAAGGGCCCTGCCCACCTCCCATCTCTCTCTCTCTCTTTTTCTCTCTCTCTTCCTTTCTCTTCTTCTCCTTCCTTCCCTCCCCTTTTCTCTCTGCCTCTCTCTTCTCTTCTGATGCTGCCCCTGCCCCCAGAGGCTGCTCTCTCCCCTCCCCTCTCCCTTTTAAGTTCCCTTTCCCTTAATAAAACCCCCTCCACGTGAGCTCTGTCACACTGTGTCTTTCTCTCGCATACCACATTTTTATAAAAAAAATTACAACAATCCATCCATCCATCACAGAACATGTGTAGAGCTTTTGGCTCTTTCTCTACATAATTAAATAAGCAGAGAGACATGTGGGCAGCCTAGAGAACCCCACAGAGGGAGAGTGAAAGGCACTGAGCAAAGGTGAGGAGGACAAACACCAGCTCACAGTCCATGGGGTAAGATCAGCCCAAGGCAGAGGCTGCTCCTCTGCCCCCAAGAGTCAGGTAACAAAAAGCATCCAGGACTTGGCCATATAAGCCCCTCAGAGAGTGAGACTGTCCACCCACAGGCTTGTGAATGAGTGCAGTGACCGGGGACAGAACAGTCACTCTGCACAGAATTCTATCTGTGCCAGGAGAGGTATCGAAGTCCTGACAACGAAGCATAGGGCCTCTGCCTGCAGAGTCTGTGAAGCCTATAAGCAAGTCTCAGGGGTCAGAGCTGCCCAGGCCCTGCTGGTCAGTGAGGCTGGGATACTTCCTCTGACCACCCAGGAGCTGAATTCCCGAGCAGTGGGATGGACGGCAATAGAGATGAGGCAGCAGCTGCGAGGAGAACCTTCCTCGTCACCCAGTCGGGCTCCACAAGGCAGAGGAGGCAGGGCACAGTTTCTGATGCTAGGAGGTAGCTCGTCTGAGTCCAGCCCTGACTCCACCAGTTTGCCAGAGCCCAGAATGAGGCTAGCCAAACCCACAACAGGTAGGTGAAAACAAGGACTTAGGTACTAGACAGATGGCAGGTAAAGTCACCTAATGGGACACCAAGGGTGGCCTATCCTGAAGACTGTTCCTTGGGTACTTGGGGACAGGTTTCTCTTGTCTTGCTTGTTAGGGTTTGTCTGTAGGACTCCTGTTGAGAGGACTCTGCACGCTTGCAGTTTTGGAGACAGACTGAGCTTGGTAGGGAGGTGAGCCTAAAAGGATAGAGTCCTCCTCTCGGAACCACTGAGCCAGCATCTCTGGAGTGGACCAACATCTTGAAGATGCTCATCCCATACTCTGACTTGATCAGCAACTGACGTCAGCGCCTCGCCCTAGATACATAGCAGATGACAGAGAGAAAGGTCAGGATGTGGCAATGGAGGAATTAGGGCAGGTTCCCCTAAGCCATGCCAGTCCAGAGCCACAAGGTGAATGCTGAGAGCTAGAAATGGGGCATAGGGTGCCAGTCACAAACCTGATCACTTCCTGAGGGGTTGGGGCTAGACCTCCTCTAGGTCTCGAGAAATGCCACTTAGCTATTTTAGGTATAGTGTGGGCAAGAGAACAGTCAGGATGACATCATCTTTCATTTTAGACTGGAAGATGAAGTGGGCTGAGGTGGCCACCATTCTACAAGCCACCCAAAGGGCTGTACACTCATTGTGGCGAGTATCATTTGTCCCTTGTGTACCCTCACTTAGAGGCTTCTAACCAAAGAAGAAGGGGCTCCAGAGAGACCCGCCCACCTTTGGGATCAGTGCTAGAGAAACCTGGCCTTGCTGGATTCCATCAGTTCATGCAGGATTGAGCCCAGGAGTCCTCACCCCGGTTTTCAGCACACACGGATGGAGCCCTGTGCTATTTCTGCCCTGACCCGGGGAGACAGATTGTCAGGTTTTAGCCCATCTTCTGACTCCTCCCTCTTGGCATCTAACAGATCCAAGCAGCTGTTCAAGGAACTGGAAGCCAAAGACAACAGGTGCTCGGGAGGTCACCATGATCAGCTCAGACCCCAAGTCCTCCCCTGGCTTGGCTCGGTGGGCTGAGAGCTACGAGGCCAAGTGTGAAAGACGTCAGGAGACCCGAGAAAGCCGCCGCTGCCGCCGCAATGAGACTACTTGCCGCCAGCCGGGGAAAGTGCTGAGGACCCAGCACAGGGAACAGCTTCAGAGAGCTCGGCAGCTCCAGTTCCTCAGGAGGAGAAACCTGGAAGATGAAAATAAAGGCCAGGTCAGGGAGCCAGGGCCTTCCCGCGAGACAGATGGAGGGACAGGTCAGGTGACTGTCCTCCAGGAGCCCTTGCCTGGTGCCAACAAGACCGCTCTCCCTGGACAGCAGGTGGGATGTGTCTAAAAAACACTGCTCCAGACCCAGGGGTGGGAGGGGTTCTGAGAAGCACAAAGGCCGAAGGTCATTAACAAGTGATTCCTGTAAGCCCCTTCCTCAGCCATGCAATCAAGTTTCCATCAGCCATCAACCATTGCTCTTTAGGGTTTGTGCTGTGTCTTCAATTTCTTTTTAAATGGGGGATGGGGGCCCTACACTTGGATGTTAGGAGAAAGGAAATAGCTGTTCAAACAATTATAAATCAATAACTAGTATAAGATCTTTTTTTTCTGAGATAGGGTCTTGCTATATAATTCAACATGGCTTCAAACTTATGATCTTCCTACCCCCCTTTCCTGAGTTCTGGGATTACAGGTGCACCGTAATTCACAAACTCTGCTTTTTCTTCTCTCAATGCTGAGGGCCTTATGCATGGTCAGCAAGCATCCTGTCACTGAGCCACATCTCCAGCTCTATAGCATCTTCTGTGCCTATCTTACGGCATCTATTTGGTGACCATCATTCACCAGAGACTTACTAAATGCTTTGAATATGCCAGGAACACAAGCCAGTGTTCCTCATGTCCCAACATGCATATATGTGCATGCATGCACATACTGCCACATGGCTGCCCAGAGCAAACACCCTGGAAAATAACTGCAAAAGAGCCAACTGCCTGCTTACATGGTAACAAGGCATCTGTATGGCCTCGACAAAGGGCAGAAGTATCGAGAACAGGAACAGAAAAATGCAGTGAAATAATTGTCTGACCTTGGCTATTTAGTCAGCCTATGATGGGATCTCATAGATATTTCTTAGCCTTTTAGTGCTGGGTTAGCTACATAGACTCTTTGATTTTGTAGAAGAAAAATAAAAAGAATAGACTAATTTGTGACTACCACTATCCCATTCTCCCAACAGGTCCCCACTGTCTTCTTTTGACAGGAAAGCTCAGTGGTTCTGTGCTCTAAGGAGAGGCAGACAGTTCCCCTAGGCCCTCCCTGATAGACAGGAGCCAGCGACCTAGAAAAGACCAGATCTGACTCCTGTCACTCATCTCTGGCAATTCTCTCTAAATCAGCACACAGCTGAATGGCTGAGACCAGGTGGAAGACCAATCCCTTGTCTGGCTGAGGAGAGACATTCCCTCAGTCCAGGACAAGAAAGAACAGGCACCGAGGTGACCTCGAGGCTGTGAAACCTTGGGTGGTTTTGGCTTTCTAGGTAGAAAATATCATTTGGACTGCAGCGACCAAATGTCACACAGGGAGTAGCTGGGACAGCAGAAACGTATTTCTTGTCATTTTTGAAGCTCAGGTCCAAGCCCAAGACTCCAGAGCATCTGGGATCTGGTGAGGACACTCTTCCTGTGCAGACAGTCACACCACCGTGCGCACACATGGCAGAAAGCGGGGCAGACAGGCGAGCTCTTACACAGCTCTTCTGAGAAGGCACTGATCTCACTCACAAGGGACCTACGTTCAGACATAAGTGCTTCCCAAAGGCTCTGTCTCCTAAAAACTGCTACAGTTTCAACACAGGAGTTTCAGGAAAACCAGTCAGTCCACACAGATGTCATTAACATTTGCTTTGTTTCATTTTTACTTTGGTTTGTTTTTCCCTGTGCTGAGAATGGAGCCCAGGGCTTTGTGTGCGCCCAGCAAGCCGCTAGCACTGAGCTACAGCCCCAGCCTCTGGCTCTTCTCTCTGCAGTTCTCTGGAAAACTTAAAAGGCCCTTCGGAGTGGCACTCAGCAACCTTCATCTGCTTTGCAGGTAACAGGGACGAGCTCTGCCGTTTTCCCGACCCTGCGTCATTCCTCCTCAAGCCTCCAGAGAGATTTGGATGGCCTCCATTCCTCACACGTGACAGTCTGCCCACCACAGGACTCTGCCATCAAGAAGCCAGACAAACAGCACCGGGGTGAGAGTGCAGCCCTGACCTACAATGGCAGCCCAGATCTCCCATCCCTCCCGCATCCTCCCTCCTTCCCCGCCTGCTGAATCACCCTGTCTGTCTCTCAGGTACTCAGACAAAGGCAGTAGAGGCGCAGACAAGAGTGAAGAGCGACGCCAGTCAGCAAACCAAGTGAGTCCCCTCGTGTTCCTGACCCCAGCAGTTTACATCTTGTTCATTCCTCTCCTCAACTGGACAGCTCAGCTGAGGAGGAGGAGGAGGAAGCCCCTCCCCGTCCTACCCCCTCCCTGCCCCACTGCTCTTCCACAGGGATGCCAGGTGCAGCTACACCCTGCCTGCATGCAGGTTTCATTTTTTCTGCCCCACTGTCATGTTTTCCTTCTCTTCCCAGCTGTGGAGTCGCAGTTCAAGATAAGGTAAGAGAACCCTCGTTCGGAGGGGTTTGGGTCAAATGGCACCTAAGAGCTAGCATTCCAGGATTCTGGGATAAATCCCGGGCTGTGGTGGAGGGATACCTTCTTCCAGGAGGCCCAGAGGGTCCTGAGCATAGATGTGGGCCTTGAAGGACCCTGCCAGATCTAAGGCAAAAGAGATCTGCTCCATGTAAGCCAGCCAAGGCTCTCTGGTTCTCTGCCGAAGTCCCCCTGAGCCTCTTCCATCTCTCTCTCTCTAGGACATCATCCAGCTCTCTGAGTACCTCAAAGTAAGTAGCACAGTGATGCCTGCGGCAGCCTCCCACCCACTCTTCCTCCAGGTTAATCTTCCCCTGTACATTTTTCCTTTTAGGAAGCTCTCCAAAGGGAGCTGATCCTCAAACAGAAAATGGTGTTTCTCCAGGACCTGCTGCCTGCCCTGATCCGGGCCTCTGACAGCTCTTGGAAGGTAAGAGTAAAATCTTCAGACCAGGTGTGCGGACTTTCATGCATGCCCACCTCGTGTCTCTCAGCATCCCACCCAGCATGGGAAGGGCTGTCTCACTGGGAGGAGGCAAAGGTGGGGGTGCTTAGATGCAGAGGCCCAAAGGTCACAGTAAGTGTGACCTGGGGAGGACCCAAAGCCAAGAGCAGACAGAAGGCCTGCTTTTAAACCATGTGAAGAGATGAAATGAAGGCTCTGTCCAGCGTTGTTACTGAGTATTGTCAAGGCAATGGCTTTCACATGGGATTCTGTATTAGTCACTTTCTATTGCTGTACCAAATTACCTGATACAAGGAACTTTAAAGAAAGGGTTTATTTTGTTTATGGTTCCAGAGTACAACCCATCATAGTTCGGGGTGGGGGGGAGGGATCATGGCTGCAGGACTGTGAGGCAGCTGGTCACATTGCATCCACAGACAGGAGCCAACTGAGAAAGGCTGGTGTTCAGCTGGCTCCCCTGTCTTATTTTTTCCCCCGCTGGGAACCCCAGCCAGTGGAATGACGCTGCTCCATTCTAAGTGGGTCTAACCACCTCCACAATCTAGAGGCCCCCTTGCAGGTATACCCAGGGGTTTGCCTTCACTATGACTCTAAATGTCATCAAGAAGACAATCAAACTCAACCATCACAAATCCGTATCAAGACCCACACAAATCAGCCTGAACAATATTCAGCCTAGAGAGGCCTTCATGGGTGATCTGGTCTGATTTTCTCTTTGCCGTAATGGGCCAAGGCCCTGACCACAGTCACGTTACTACTTAGCAAAGTCCAGGTCTCTGATGTTGGTCTGTTCACTCTCTAGATAGCCAAAGGCCATGCTCCTGATACCAGGCACTGGGAAATTGTTCTCTAGGCAGACACCTTCATTTATTTTGTAAACATAAGCTCACTATGTAGCCCTGGATGACCTAGAGCTCTATGTAAACCAGGCTGGTCTTGAACTCACAGAGATGCACCTGTCTCTGCCTCCCAAGTGCTGGGATCAAAGCCGTGCACTGCTGTGCCTGGCCCGGGCTCCTGCTTTTCAGAGGGTTCATAGTTCTGTAAGCAAGACACGCCAAAATAATACAGACATGAGAAATAAAAGAGATGCTTCCAGAGGGGAGCAGGCTACAGGGAGAACAAACACCCCCAGGGAGGGGAGCCAGAGGCACAAGGACAGTTACAAAGCACTGTCAGGCAAAGGAGGACTCAGTGGCAGTGTGGATAGGTAAGAGCCAGAGCGTGGCTCGATTTGGCACAATGGTTCTCTACCTTTCTTATCTCAGGAATCTTTATATTAATTTTTAATTGATTAATATTTCCCTGAGTGACCACATTTCCCCTCCCTCCTCTCCTCCCAGTGCCTCCCCCCAACCTCCCCACCCCATTACCCCATCCACTCCTCCTTTCTTTTCAGAAAAGGGCAGGTCTCCCCATGTATATCGACCAGCCATGGCATATCAAGTTGCAGAAAGACTAGGCACCTCCCTTCCTATTAAGTCTAGATGACTTATACTAATTTTTAACTAAAAACTCCAAAGAACTTCTGATGGGTACCATATTAGAGTTTACCATGTTAAAACTTAAAATTGAAATTTATAAATATTAATTTAGAAATAACAATAGTCAAGCACCATATGCTAACTTAAGTTACGTATTTTAATGGAAAGCTTTGTTTCAAAAAGGAAAAATTAGAGAAATAACATGGTTGTACATTTTCAATACCTAGTTAGTAGGTTTTCTGTAACATGATACTAGGTTTCTCCACCAATGCAGTAAGCCAGACCAAGTTGAACTGAAAAAGTAAAAGAACCGGTATATTTGAGCAAGGCCTGGAGAAGTCACACAGGCAAACAAAAGCAGGGAGTGTATATATCCTGTAGGCGAGGGGTGATGGCGTGTCCTCCACAAGCCCAAGTATAGTCAAAAGATGACTGCTTTAGGAGGGGTCTTGGGCTACTGGCAACTTCACAGGGGGGAGTGGGGGGGGAGAGCTGTTGGAGGAGGCCGCTTGTTTGTTTCCCGGCTGCCCAGAAAACGAAATAATCACACAGAAACTGTATTAATTAAACAATTTCTTGGCCTAATTGTTGTAGGGAAGGGGCCACTTGTTGGTTCCTGACTGCTTAGCCCTGAAATAATCGCACAGAAACCATATTAATTAAATCACTGTTTGGCCCATTAGCTCTAGCGTCTTATTGGCTAACTCTTACATATTAATTTAACCCATTTCTATTAATTTGTGTATCACCACGTGGCTATGGCTTACTGGATAAAGTTCCATCTGGCTCTGGTGGGGCTCCATGGCTTCTCTCTGACTCTGCCTCCTTTCTCCCAGCATTCACTTTAGTTCCCCCCCACCTAGTTCTGTTCCCCTATAGCTCTGCTATAGGCCCAAAGCAGTTTCTTTATTAACCAATGATATTCACAGCATATAGAGGGGAATCCCACATCAAAGAGTTGTCATAGCCAACAAGAATACACAACTGGCCTTTGTAGTGCTTTTGGAGATTCTCTAAGAGGGCAGGGTTCAGAGAGAAGAATGGGGCTTTCCGGATCAAGCAGGAGTGAGCTGCAGGTTCCAGACAAACACTAGCTAAACAGAAGACAGCTAAACTCTATTTCCTTCTCAATTTAACCTCTTGTGAGCACTCTTTCAACTGAAGTATTTGAAAGCAGTCAGTGTCATGGAGAATGTGCTAAAAAGGGAAAGGTCTTGCAGATAGGTCCCCTGAAAGAGTCTCTAGGACCCTCCTGTGTTCAGCAAATGATAAGTTGGTGCCACCAAAGTCTAAGGCTGCAAGTGTGTTCAGCCAGAACATGCAGCCTCCCAGGCCTTCACGTATCTCACTATAGGAAGGTTTATGGTTAAAGAAGTGAAGGGGGGCGGCTGGAACACTCCCAGAGGTCTGTGGTGACACGGAAGTCACCACTCCCCACCCACTGGAGCCAAGTCATCCCTCCTTACACCAGCCACCGAGTCTGGATTCAGAGTCTCTCTGGTGCAGGCCCTTTTTGCCATTTCTACTGACAGCAGAAACCTGAGTCCGCAGCTGGGCATGCCAATGCTGAGCTAAATTGAGATTATCTCCCTTATTAGTTTATAAGATGCTCGGTAACTTTCAACTCTAGGCTGGGGGTTCAGGAACAAAACAAAACCGAGTTCTTACTCTGAAAGTCTCACAGCCCAGCAAGGGAGAGACATAGCAGGCAGCTCTGGTGAGACCAGGCTGCAAGTGTGCGGAGCCCAACAGAGAAAGACAGCGATTCTGTCTGAGGCAGAGAAAGGAAGGCTCTGTGGAAAGAGGCCATTTCAGCCGGGTCTTAGGGGTGAGTAGAAACTCACCAGTTCAAGTTGCTCGATGACGGGGGCAAGCAGAAGTGTTTAAGAAATTGCCTGGGTGTGGCAAAGCACTGGGTGTAGCGCACTGTGATGAACAGGAAGGGATCCTGTCTGAAGAAATACCTCTCTCACCCTTCAGAACAGGAGGCTTGACCCTTCTCTGTGAAGGTTTATTTCAGACTGAATATGCGAACTCCATTGTAGAAAACATACGTGCATATTTGTATGTGGGTGTACATGAGTGTCACAGCAGATATCTTGTATTGAGGACCCATGGGTTCGCATGCCACCCCCTGGTTGAGAAACACAGTCACAGGCAGGAAGCGGGGCGGAAGTTAACGTTCACTCAGAGTTGAATGCAGGGCCTTACATATCTGCCATGCCTGCTTGTCTTTCTGAAGGGGAAGAATCTGGTCTATGCTTGTAGTTTCTCTAAGCAAAGGCCTGACTCTGAGTGAGGGGTGGAGCCCTAGGGAAGCCTAGAGGAGCCTAGGTCAGCTGTGCTTAGTTAGTGGAAGTGAGGCAGATAGCACTCAGGAGTCTGAGGCAGGAGGATTCTAAACTTCAGGCCAGCCTGGGCTGTATGTTGAGACCCTGTTTTGTTGTTGTTGTTTTGTTGTTTTGAAGCCATTTCTACCATCAATTTGGAGGGGGCGCTATTTTACCCCAAGCTCCAGACGAAAAGCTGCGGCTCCTCTGGCTGTCATTTCCTCTCTCCCACCTTCCTGCCTTTCCCAGGTCTCACAGTCACCCTTTTCTTCATCCTCCCACCCCAAGCTGTATTCCTGTATTTAAAAAAAGTCATTGCTAGCTATTCAGTTGAGAGTCTTTGCTTCTCCCAAAACAAAACACTTCAACTCCATCCCTCCCAAGAAGGCCTCAATATTAGCGAAAGAGTGGCCCCATTCGGTGATTTTGAGAAAATAATTGAACGAACGAGGCCAGAATTGGGCCTCGGACCTCATCCACGTGTCCTCTGTGTCCTCTCCGTTTGATTCCATGTAGAGATGATGTTCACGGCAAGCTCTCCATTAGAGCCCCAGAGTCAGTGCCCTCCGAGACACTGCTGGGAACCTAGAGCTGGGTCTGACCACTAGAACAAATGCAGCTCTGCCAGGAGAGGAAGCTGGTGTGGGTCTGCAAAGCGGAATTGAGAGCTTGAGATGACAGCCCAGGGGGAACTGGCTCTGCACCCTATGCAAACTCTGTGAGAGCAGAGATGAGCCATGGGCTAAGGCTTCTGCGGTGAGGTGCGCTGCTTCTGGAAACAGATCTGAGGCAGGGGACGGAGCAGCAACAGGATCTTAAAGCCCTCAGACCAGCACCAGGTGTGTGTGGTCTCCCCATTGCCCCACCAGGGGTGGCCTGTCTGAGGTGCTCCAGACTCCTGGATAAGGTCCACAGCAGCCTGTAGAACTTCTTAAGTCTCTAAGACTAAAGTCAGCATGGGGAGATGGGGGGTGGAGTGTAAGGGGACTGTTTGCTCCATTTGCAGCAACTTGGCTTCAACATTCCTGCTTGCCTTAGGGAGTCTGGAGCTGTGGGCCAGGGATTTTGTTCATGCTGTAGATTTGGGTGGCAGCCCCTATCCCTACTTGAAGGGGCTACCATGAATCATCTTGTTTTGCAACATAAATGGAAAAATAATCTGGAGTTGGGTTGAAATGCACAGATACTTGGAAGAGGAAAATATTGAATGAAAGTGATACTACAGACTAGGGAACTACCCAGAGGACGTTTCCAGAATACTGTCTGGAGCCTATGTTCCTTCCAGGCTATAAGGCGGCGATCTTTAAACTTGGTGGGTGTAGCTGGCTTCTTCACCGAGGAGTCTGGGCAAAGGAAAGCGCTGCTCGCTGGCAGTCTGTTGGGAGACCAGCATGGAGGGTGGCAGGGCGGGGCTAGCTGGGTTCTGGGCCTGCAGACTGACAATGAACAGGCCCCTCTGGGGAATGTAGCCGCTCTACCAGTTATGCCAGGGCCTGAACAGTGGGAGCCTTTGTCCTCCTCTCATTTGTCCCAAGCCCTGTGGTTATTGTAAATGCCAAATCCCTTACTCTCTATGCTTTCCCACATGCGGCTGAGAAAAACATTAATAATAGGAGGCACTTTAAAAAATTGTTTTTGGCAAAGGTTTTTGCTTTCTGCAAGGTCCAGCTGAGTAACACAGGAAGCAGAACGGGTGGGGTCTCCCCCTGGTCCTCACAGTTGGAAGACTTAGACAAGTACAAGCAAAACATGAGCTCTGTGATACCACTTCCTGCCTTCCCCAGGCACCCTGAGTCCCAGCACCGGAGGCCCGCCTCACACAGAGGCCCTCTCCTGCCCCTAGTCTTCACAGTCTGGCCTGCCAAGAGTGTTGGAACTGTTCACCAATGACAAGAGCCACAGCATCCAGGACTGGAGAAAGGTCCCTCAAGAGTCTCACAAGATTAGGGTGGAGAAGTCAGAGAAAGAAATGTGAAAACCACTTACAGGTTCATGGCTGTATCTAGAAAAAAAAAATGCTCTTGTTAACGGCATCCCCACTGCCCCAACCAGATACACCTGGGTAAAACTCAAGTCTGGCAAAGGGGATGTCTACAGGTAGGAGCAACAATGTGTGTGAAATGTAAAAGACTGAAAACCAGAATTGCCCCTCTACCCACCCTTCTGTGCTTGCTCATAGATCAAGGAATGCCTTAAAGTTCCCTCAGGCACCACAAGACCTGGGGCATGCTGGGAGGCATGGGGAGGGCAGACAGACCAGACCATGAGATTGACCCAGCTTTTGAATACCTCTGTGACTTTCTCAGAAGCCCCCCCCCCCCCGGGCCCACTCCTAAGTCCATTTCTCACTTTTGACAGACTTTCTCACTTGTGTCCTGTCAAGGAGGAAAGGACATGCACATGCGTGCGCACACACACGCACACACACACACACACACACACTAGTACAGTCAGAGTCCTCCACAGCCTCAGATTCAACCAACAGTGGATCAAGAATAATTGAAGGAAAAAATCCCGTTTTTCTTGTTTTTCATATAATTAGTCTCAAGTCAATACATTATACATTGACACAGCATTTCCAGTGTACTGTGAGTGAGCCAGAGATGGTTTTAAGCATATAGGAAGGCGTACATAGGCCGTCAGTAAGTGCTACACACTGGGACCCTGAGCATTCTGAGGGGTTCGAGGACCTAATCCTCAGTGGATATGGGGCATGTGCAATGTAAGGGCCACCCCTACAGAGACCTCTGCCACGGCCCTACCCGGGCAGAGATCAAGGTGTGCCACCAGTGCCACCAGTGCCAGTCTCTGCCCTTGTCTCTCTTGGTTTGCAGATATCCTCTTGTCTTCAGGTGCTCTCCCTTCAGTATATCCTGGTGCTCTGATCTTGTTTTATAAAAACACCAAGAAACCAGACTTGACTGCCAGACTTTACTGCGTGTTTACTTCTTTGAAGGCTTACCTCCAAATGTGGTTCCATCCTGGAGTACTGCAGCTCTCTGCAGCCTTCAGGCCTGAAGGGCAAAGGCAGTTCATTCAACCCGTAACAGGACATTGTAGCAAACACAGAATCTCCCCAGGAGCAACAGACAGAACATTGTAACAAACACAGATTCTCCCCAGGAGCAACGGACAGAACATTGTAGCAAACAGATTCTCCCCAGGAGCAACGGACAGGACATTGTAGGAAAAACAGATTCTCCCCAGGAGCAACGGACAGGACATTGTAGGAAACACAGATTCTCCTCAGGAGCAACGGAGGCAGGGGAAGCTGCAGTACAGGTGGGGGTGGTGGCGAGGAAAGAAATGACAGCTTAGGACCCTCCCTGTCTGTGGCCTTCTCTGCTGTCTGGGCTACTTGATAGAGAAACTCAAAATACAAAGAGAGTCTGGGGCCAGTCTGGGTGGCCCTTGGCCTAGAGAGAGAGCGGGAGAAGACTAACTTCCTTTCAGAGAACCTCAGCTGTCTCCGCACTTGAAAGGGTTCAGCCTGCCAGCATCCACAGCAACCCACAGAGCCCCCATGTTAACAAGCTTCAGCTGTATCTGACTGGGCGGGAGCGATGTAGTTAGCCTCCCTGTGTGTTTTCAGGCCTTACTTTACTAACTCATCCTGTTTACTTCAGGGGCAGCTTAATGAAGACAAACTGAAGGGCAAACTAAGGTCCCTAGAAAACCAGCTCTATACCTGCATGCAGGTAAGCGCTCTGAAGAACACTTCTAGCACATTAATGTCAATAGGATGGGAATGTTTGAGTCTTCCTCTTGCCTTTAGGCACGCTACCAGATGGAGACTGCCACACCCCCACTCTTGTCTGTCTTCACATGGGTCCCTAGTTAGCTACGTCACTATCTCCAGTGTTCCGTGTCCTAGCATGCACCATGCACCGCTGTGCATGGAAGCCCAGGAAGGAAACCCAGCACTAGACATGATGTTGGCTCCTAAGGAGTTGTAGGGAACGGTCCTTAAGGTATGCGCCGCGTGGTCTCCAGAGGCCCAACCTGAGGGCAGGGGAAGAAGACATAACAGGAATCTGCAAAAATGACATTGATCTTGGGAACAAGTTGTTTTTAGCAACCTAGAGGAAACAAGGGGCACGAGAGTCTGGAAGAAATGGAATCCTGGATTTCCTTGTTAATATTCAGCTTCAGTAATCTCTTGATTTGGCCTAATTTTAGGTTACAAAAGAAAAAAAATCAGTTCCCCTGACAGGTAGAAAGAAAGTGAGGAGAGTAGGGGCCAACAAGAGGGCTTCCTAGATGAGGATGCTTGCCACCAAGCCTGACGACCTGAGTTCGATTCCTGGAACCCAAGTGGTAGGAGGAAAGAAATGTACCCCTTCACAAGTTGTCCTCTGACCTCTGCTCATACTCTGTAACAAGTACGTACACACACACACACACACACACACACACGTAAAAATATTAAAGGAAAAGTAGGTTAAGTAGGGAATGGGTGGGCTTCTCTCACTTAGAGCTGGAGGGATCAGCACTCTCCTACACGACTGGGAACAGCTTATATTGTCTGTAGGCTTCCTGGTCTATGCATCTGCTCACTTTCCAACGTGAGCTGCTTTGTTATGCTCCTATTAGCTAAAATATGTCAACCAAACTTGTAAGAGGCCAGCAAGCAAGCCAGATTGCAAGTCTTTAATTTGTGATTTGAGAAAGGTCTCATCATTAAGCTGACCTTGAACTTGTGATCCTCCCATCAGCCCCTCAGTGTTGGAGTTACAGGCGTAAGCAACTGTGCCCAGCTACTCTATCGATTTTCTATTGGAAAGGAAGCTGGCCGGTGACTACTGTTATCAAGTCCAATAACTAGGACACCACCATGTCTGACTTCAACCAGTCACTCTCTGGTTTGATTTTTAATGAAAATCCCCAAAAGGCAGAGCACTCTTTCAGATACAAATACAAAATTTCTGACAATCCCAAAGTGAAACAAAATGGTTCCTAATGCTCCCTTCCTCTGTCTCCGTTCTCTGGGTTTTCCCAGACGGGTCTAGCACTAACTGTGAAAGCTGCCTGTCTTCCTCATAAATCAAACCCAAAAGGTGAAACACAAGGGTACCCAACATCAGTGGATCTGAAAATCTGTTTTATCTGGTTTGGGAGTATTTTTCTTGATCATAAAACCAGGGGAAACATTTTACCTGGCAGTGGTGGTGCATGCCTTTAGTCCCATCACTTGGGAGGCAGAAGTAGGTGGCTCTCTGTGCTTTCTTGGCCAGCCTGGTCTACAGCGTGAGTTCCAGGACAGCCAGAGCTGTAACACAGAGAAACCCTGTCATAAACAAACAAAAAAACAAACCAGGGGAACATTTAATGCAGATGTAGTACGACTTTTAGAACACTAAGTAGCCTCAGATTCCTGGGACATTTTCTTTCAGGCAGCAGTGTGTCCCCATTTGGAAACTGTTTCCAAAGGAGGGAGATTCATCCAAGAGCAGAGCAGGGAAGGAATGGGTCCCCTTCTCATGAATGCCAGTATGTCAGTGCTCAGCACAGCTACCAGAGCTGGGGATGGAGTTAGGGGAGATTTAACAGACGCGGTGTGTGTTCTGCGTTGAGCTCAGCAGAGGCTAACCAGCTGAGAGGACAGAGGAGGCGGCTGCAGAAGTACCCTGCCAATGGCAGGCACCTCTCAGACACCCTACGGGATCCCTCTGCTCAGCTCCAGCCTGAAGAAAAGGCCGACCAGACTACTGGTGTCTCTGCCCTGGGGACAGGACCTACATCGTTCCCTGTGTGTGTCCCAGCTGTCGGGTGGGCAGAAGTTCACTGTGTATTTGTCGGATTGCTTCTGGTTTACAGAAACACACTCCCTGGGGAATGAAGAAGGTGCTGCTGGAGATGGAAGACCAGAGAAGCAATTACGAGCAGAAGGCTAAGGAGTCGCTGCAGAAAGTGCTGGAAGAGAAAATGAGCGCGGAGCGGCAACTGCAGAGTGTGCAGGTGGGGACGCTGTGCAGGTGGGGACGCTGTGCAGGTGGGGACGCTGTGCAGGTGGGGACGCTGTGCAGGTGGGGACGCTGTGCAGTAGGGGCTGGAACCCCAGGAACAGGGAACAGTCCCCAGAGCAAGGTCCAGGGACCATGCTCCTCAAGTTCATCCTGCATTTTAAACTACAATATAAACAAATACAGAACTCAGTGTGTTCACGCTCTCTAAGCATCTGCTCCTTGGGAACACTCTCTCTTCTGGTCTCTTTCAGCTGTCCCTGGCTTTCGCGGAGCAGAAGTGTGAAGAGTGGAGGAGTCAGTATGAGGCTCTTAAGGAGGACTGGAGGAGCCTAGGGGAGCAGCACAGGGAGCTGGAGAGTCAATTGCATGTGCTTCAGTCCAAACTACAGGTACCAGGCTCTGAGCATGGGAGGGGAAGGATGGCAGGAGTGGGGGAAAGGGTCTGGGGAGAAAAGATGCTCCAGGGCTGGACCCCAAAGGCTTGACACGTGCAAAAAGGAGCTTTCCAGTCTTCATCCCACGGCCCACTTAGTACTAGGCCCACTGTCCTGCCTCTGAACTGTGATTCTGTACTTAGAACTAATGCCCGCACTGCTCATGCAAATGAACTAAGTACCCACTGGAAAGGCATTAACCAGATACAAACGCCTGGGCTGAAACAGCCCTTGAATTGCACCCTGATTCAGACACCATCCCAGCAGAGTGCACAGTGCACAACTGCCCGCTGTTGGGCACACAATAAACTTATTTACAGGTGTTAACACATCCTGCCAATGTGTTTCATATCAAATTACTGTAAACCCTTGACATACTCAACAGTTCCTATACTTTCAATCTGTCACTTTAGAAAGCCTAATTAAGCTCCATAGCCTGCTTCCTCATCAGCAAAATAAGGGTGATAGTCTTCATATCACAGTATTGTTGCATGAGTTAAATATGGATAGCCACACAAAGTGTTTAGCATGGTCTACGGTACATATGAGCACTTGATACAGGTTAACAATTACTGTGCGTGTGTCACCTCTGGCCTGGGTGGAGACCTAACATTCCAAGCTATCTAAAACCTAAGAGTTAACCCACTGGAGTTAGTCATCCGGCTAATGAACCACCCCTCGGGAAGGCAGAGTCACCTTAACCCACGACAAAGAAGGAAGAATAATCGACCATTTAATAAGAAGGTGCACTGTCCCTTCCCAGAAAGTCTGCCCATTTTTCTGAGTTTCTCAGAAAAGCGTAACTTTTCATCTCCTCTTTCTTCCTAATATTTGCCAAAGTCAAGGTATGCTTCCAGAACACTCTGGGCTTTCTTACTCTTTTTTTCTGAAGTTATTCTCTCTCTATCCCCTTTGCCATATGGCTGTTTGCCAAACCGCCAAGCCTCCAGCCCTAACTCCAAAGTCATGGCTTCCTTTTCCTCATCTTTGCCCTCCAGGCAGCTGCTGAGATTTTACAATACACCTGCTCATCATTGTTGTTATTGTTTGGGGTATTTTTCCTTTTTTAACTACAAAAAAGCTTCCTTCAGAATCTGTTCTTTTTTTAATGTTAAGCATCTTTCTTCAATTTTTATATTCTTGAGAGTTTAATTAATTTCTATCTTCCTTTTCCGCCCTCCAAACCTTCCCATATATCATTCCCTGTTTTCCTTCATATTCATGGCCTCTTTTCATCAATTATTACTGCATGCATAGATGTATGTGCATATATATTCCCAAATATGAACTTGCACGTATGATTTCAGGGCTGACCATTTGACCCTGGACAACCACCTGGTGTGCTCTTCCCTGGGAGAGACCCCTCTCTGACCCAGCTGTCCTCAGTTGCCTGTGGTTCTTTAGTGGGGTCGAAGCCACGTGGGCTTTGCCCCATCCAGCTTGCCATGTCCATTGATGTTGTCCTTGTTCACTGCACATTTGAGCAGTCATGTTGAGGAGACTTTGCGGGTGTCACTCCTGATGTTACTAGATGAGCTCGCACAGCAAACTCCCCGATCCCTGATCCTCTGGATCTTCGTCTTTCTGCTGCGTCTTCTGCAATGTTCCCTGAGCCTCGGGTGCTGGAGACATTTTGTACATGTATCCACTGAAACTGGGCCCCACAGTATGCATTTTGACTGGTTGTGGTTTTCTGTAGTGGGCTCCAACTGTTGCAAAGAGAAATTTCCTTGAAGTGTTAATTTTTTTATTAACAAATCTAAGAACTCAGAGAGGAGACCCCAATTTCCCAGTAATATATGGCACCCCCGGTGGGGCTCCCCACAATCTTCAGTAACACATAGATGTCACTTACTTAGTTTGTAACTTTGAGGATCTGCCCCCAAAGTGGATCTTTACAATTTTCCCCCAACAGAGATCAGAAACGCACACACACACACACACACACACACACACACACACACACACACAGCTGATGAGAGGGGGGCGAGACTCTTAGAGACACAGCTCTCACTGTGCACAGCACAGGGCTCTCTCCTTCACAACTGTGAAGCTGAAAGTGAAGGCACAGTGGAACATCTAGAAAAGTTCCGACTTGATGTGCCTTGGTTGGAGATCTGCCGAGGCGCGGGACACTATCCCCTGTAGCTATCAAGTCAGATGCGCTGCTGGAAACAACAGGACAGAGAACAAGGGGAAGTGGAGGGACCTTTCCAGGTCCCTGCATCCCAGGCTCTTAACATTCTGCCGTCTTCTATTCCATGGCACCTGCTCGGTCTCCGACCACACTGACCTGTGCTCTGTGCGGCCTCCTCCTCTCAGGGAGCAGACAGCAGAGGCTCACAGATGAACCAGGCCCTGCGACTTTTAGAAAATGAGCACCAGGAGCTGCAGGCCACAATCGAGCGTCTGCAAGGGGACAGAGAGCAGCAGAGCTCCGACACCCAGGACCTGCTAGGTACTTCTCTTCTTGGGGGGTCCCACAACTTCAGGGGTGAGAACCACACCTGAATGAGCTCTGACGCCCAGGACCTGCTAGGTACTTCTCTTCTTGGGGGGTCCCAGGATCGTGAGAACCACAACTGAATGATCTCAGAGAGAGGAGTTGGGGGGAAGGAGAGGCTTTGGTCTTTATTTCTGCTTGCCCTTATGATTCCATCTTTCCTTGAGGGAAAGGCGGCTCTACCTTCACCACCCTAAATGAACATGAGTTGGGTTTCTCTAGGACTTTGTATGCTCTTTTCTCCGGCCTGCCCCTGTGAGCCAGACCACAGCTGCTCCTACGCGAGTCTCAGGCCAAGACCATATTACTAATTTGAAAGGGAAAGGTTAGCACAAACACTGGCAGAACGAAGGCTTCCCAGCAGTGCCAGTGCGGGCTGAAGGGACCGGGGGCGTGTGTACACGACACTGTGATGTTCGTGTGCGATACGTGTGTACACGACACTGTGTGCTCATGTGCGATGGTGCCCTTCCTCCTCCGATCCGAAAGGCCCTGGAGAGGACAGGACGTGCTTCTTGGTTCCACCTCTGGTGCTCTTCTGTTTCAGTCTGCATTCTTTCACTTTCAGATCGGCTAAAGCGGTCAGAGGAGGAGAACCGGGTCCTGGTGAGCAGAGTACAGCAGCTGCAGAGTAAGTGTCCTTGACAGGTGGCTTCCGGTGTGTGTGCCCACAGAAGGCATTTGAAGGCAGGCCCAGGCTCTGGTGTGTCCTGTTTTGGGGCAGTCTCGAGCCCACTTCCTGCAAAGGGAGGGTCATTTGCATAGCTCCTCACAAGTTATATGGTTGATTTCTTTCCCCAAGTTGTGTATTAGCATCTGTTCTTATGTTTCCTCTCTAGTCTCCTCCTTGTCAGTGACAACCATTTACATTCCTACAAGAATTCCAGCTGTGTGTGTGTGTGTGTGTGTGTGTGTGTGTGTGTGTGATATGTAGGGAGAGTTGTGATATATATATGTGATGTGTAATGTGGTGTGTGTGCACATGTTATGTTTATGTGTGTGGTGTGTAGAGGCAAGGGGGCTGAGGGTGTTGAGCATCTTCTCTGTCACTCCCTGCCTTGGTCCCCTGAGAAAGGGTAAGTCGCTGTTTCCCAGCTAGGCTTAGCCAGCAAGCCCCAGTGATCTTCCCTCCTCTGCCCTGGACCTGATAGCATAAAGGTAACAAACAAGTAGCCATGCCCTGTTTTACATGGATGCTGACAATTTAAATCAGGTCCTCACGTGTGTACAGCAAGACCTCTTGCTCTTCCATTGCCCCAGCCCCAGGACTGTCCATTTCAAGAAGTATTAGGCTTTCTAAGATGGTTCTTTAGTTATACATTCCATGTATTCACATGAACATGTCACTCAGATCTTTCTTGCTAGACCTGGTTCAGACGATAAGCATTCATTCATTAAACCCCTACACGAGTCAGGCACCCTGAATATATGTACTGGGGTATGCCATAAGCAAAAGCAATAGTTTCTTAAGAAACTTCCATTCTAAGCAAGTCCAGTAGTAGAGGTGTCCATGAAAAAGAAATCAATGCATGTCAAGTCAATAATTACCACAGAGAAAAAGCAGCAGAGTCAAGGAAAATTAGTCATTGTATAGACGGTCACCTGAGAACGAGTTCCTTCTACAGTAACAACTAAACAAAGACCCACAGACACAGGGGCTGACATAAGGACGGTGTGTTTGCAATGAAGCACCACATTAAACGACTTGGACAAAAACGAGCCGTTTCTGGAGTCTGCCGTCCAAAATCAAGCTGTCCAGAGGTTTGGCAACTTCTCTTTAGCTGTGCAGGTGGCTGTCTGGCTGATGTGTCTATGCATGCTTCCCCTGGAGCATACGTGGGTCTCCGTGTTCCCTTTCTTATAAGAACTCAGTTATCTGGACTAGGGCCCATGTTAATGACCTTACTTTCACCTGGTTACCTTTTCAAAGACCCCATCTCCAGGGAGGGTCACATCACAGGAGTGAGGACTTCCACACAAAAATTCTGAGGGGCAGCATCCAGTCCCTCACAGATGGTGACGTCTGGGATGGGTCTTTACACTGGGTCTGTCTGTCTCCCAACAGGTCTGCTTCAGAAACAGTCCTTACACCACCAAGAACAGGAGAAACTCTTAAAGAAAGGTCAGCAAATTTACTCGCACTAAATGTTGCTCTTCCTTTGTCTGCCTAGAGGCTGGGTATGGACTACATGACTTCTTGGGGTCTCACCCACACCTGAGAGTCTGTGACATCAGGGAGGTAGGGAAAAGTTTCTGAGCAACTATCACTGACCTGGACATCTCAGGCAGCCTTCTACTCCGAGAGGTACAAAAACTGGGAAAGGGTTTCTACTTTCTCTGAAAACATTGTCTGTGCTGAACATTTCAATAAATTGATTTTGAACTCATAATTTCATGTCAGTTTTTACACAGTTGATTTTATAAATCACATCTAGCTCAGCCCACACCACACAGCACATGAGTCCTCTCACTCAGTCCAGCCCTGACCAGTCTGCTGCCCAAGCCTGCCAGGGGCCCACCAGCCACACACAGGTCCCAGCGGCTCCACAGCACGCCAGTCCTCACTCCAGCCCTGACCAGTCTGCTGCCCAAGCCTGCCAGGGGCCCACCAGCCACACACAGGCCCCAGCGGCTCCTCAGTTAAGGACAACACAAAGCCTGCTATCTTATTCTCACAACTCCTGGTTGTAATTCAGGATTGTGCCCACATGGGGCAGACAAGAAAATAAAAGATCTCTAGCCATATAAATCAAGGGCTGAACTAAAGCAATAACCCAGAACTTGACTCTAGTCCAGTGCTCTTTTCTCTAAAACCAGAACTACAAGGTGGCTGAAAACCTAGCTTTAAACATTAAGAGGCCGTCTAGAAAGACTCCCGTCTTCAGGACACAAAGGTGAAAGGTGCAAAGGATGCAGAGTTATACAGAAGCACTGAGGAAACCTATGTGAGACACTAGATGCTATGGCAATAAAGAAATTATTTCAATTAGTAAGTATTCACTAAAACGATCAGGTTAAGACAAATTCAAAGAAAAATGAGATGTCAACCTTGCCTCAAGAAGTCCAAGGCCAGCTGTGTGTCTAGGCCACAGGGTGCACCAGAGCTCTTTAATGCAGAATGTTCTACTGCGCTCAGCAAAGCAAGGACAAACCTGCCGCCTCCCTATCCAAACCCTGAGGATTCTCAGGGGCAGGCCAGCCCTCACAAACAAGGGTCTCGCTGCTCTTCTAGATCAGGCTTTACCTGTGTGGAACCCAAAGCTCTCCTTTGATGAAGCAAAGCCCGAGAATACAGGGAAGGAGAAAGACTGGGAGCTCAGAGACCAGCTACAAAAGGAGACATCTCAGTTCCGGGCCAAGGAAAAGGAGGTGAGGAGGCAACCTCAGTGTAAGGGCTTATCCAGACCGTGAGCGCTCATCCAGACCATGAGTGCTCATCCAGACCGTGAGCGCTCATCCAGACCGTGAGCGCTCATCCAGACCGTGAGCGCTCATCCAGACCGTGAGCGCTCATCCAGACCGTGAGCGCTCATCCAGACTGTGAGTGCTCATCTAGACCGTGAGTGCCCATCCAGACCATGAGTGCTCATCCAGACCGTGAGTGCTCATCCAGACTGAGAGTGCTCATCCAGACTGAGTGCTCATCCAGACTGAGTGTTCATCCAGACTGTGAGTCCTCATCCAGATTGTGAGGGTTGATTTAGATTAGTGGTTCTCAACCTATGGGTCACATATCAGGTATCTTGCATATCAGATATTTACATTATGATTCGTAACAGTAGCAAAAGTACAGTTTTGAAGTAGCAATGGAATAATTTTATGGTTGGGAGTCACCCCAACATGAGGACCTATATAAAAAGGGTCTCAGTGTGAGGAAGGTTGAGAACCACTGATCTAGATTGCAAAGAACAGGGAAACCTTCTGGGAGGCAACTGGAAGGCAGGAACTTCCAGGCTTAGATTGTGACTAGATGCCCAGAGGTGTTCATTTTCTTGTACAAATTTCTTTGCTCTTGAATAGACTTGCAATCTTTCTCCTTCCTAACTGATAATATCAAGGTTATACTGATAGACTATTATGAAGTCAACCAGAAGATAAAAATATTTGACTAAACACATTCACTTCTTAAATTCTGTCACATACTAAGTGTCACAGTGCTTTTATCTTACATAGAATCTTTTAAATGGCAAACACTGCCCTAGGAACACACTTCCAAACTCACTCACCCATGGAAGTGTGCAGAGACAGCAAACTCCCAAGGAGGAGAGACTCGTCTTCCAATTACTGCTAAGTCTTTCGTGCTGTAAGAACTATGTTTTAGTACGCCCACTTACAAAACACTTTCACAAAGTCATAGAAAAGCATGTACATCAATGGGGGCCAGTAAGCTGGCTCAGCAGGTAAAGGCACCTGCAGTCAAGCCTGATGATCTGAATCCAATCCCTGGGGCCCACATGGTAGGAGAGAGGTGACTCCAAGGGTTGCCTTCTGACTCCCACACATGCACTGTGATATCAGCACACATACACACACACACACACATACACACACATATCAACAATAAATAATATAAAAAAATAAGCATTTCCATGCGTCAAATGTAATATATGAAGCATAACCAATCGTATAACGCAACATATTCCAGATAAACTATGTGATAGGAAAACGACTAAAATCCCTGAGAAAAGCAGGAAGAATGGTTCACTCCAAACAAGTGAAGGAGCATGGTACTCAGGGCAGTCCTCTTCCGGAGTTACGTCACAGACTGAAACGGTGGCGCTTTGTTCTGTTGTCCACAGTGCAGAGAGCTGCATTCAGAGCTAGACATCCTCAATGACAAGCAGCACTCCTGTCTTGGAAAGCTACGGCACTGTCAAGAAGCCCTGAGCCACAGCCAGGAGGCATCTCCCAGAGTAAGAGGGCCTATCCTTCTCTATAGCCCTACATGACATTGGGGTAGTTCCTTTTTCATGCCCAGTCATACCGATAAAACATATCAGTTCACACCAACATCTGGTCGTCCTGTCCTGTTCCACTTATGCCAACAATATGGTGATATGAAATAATATATTATGAATAAGTATGGACAAAATGCTGCCTGTGATCCACCCACATTATATGGAGCCTACTCTGAAAGCCTGACATGTTCTAGACCCAAAACACACTGCACATGTGTAACACGAGGGCCGGCTTGTTGGGGTTTCTGTCCCGCCCGGTACC